TTCCCCCCACCTGGCCGTTCATTCCCCTTTCCTTCCCTTTTCTAATGGACCTGGGTAAGGACCCACCATAAATAAGATTCCGAGCTAAAGGAGTTCTACAAGGGGAAATCCAGCTGGGACGAAAATCTAGACGATACCTTAAGGATGAGAGAGCCTATGGGAGCTCAGTCAGTAGACTGCTTGCCTAGCATGCTGGGAGCCCTTGATTTCAACCCCAGTACTGAATAAAACTGGGCACAGTGGCACACCTGTAATTCAATAGGCAGGAGGGCATCCTTGGCTACACAGCAAGGCCAAGGCCAGTACGGGGTCCAGGAGACTCTGGGGATCTCGGAAGTTGCAGAGGCGGGCCACACAGAAGCGAGGTGGGCAGAGGTAAGCCACACACAAGAGTGCATGGCCTAGGGTGGAGAACACAGGATGTTTTAGGAGATGGCAAACAGGCCAGCTGCTGGTTGTTTATTGTTGAAGATAACTGTAAAGACGGAAATACAGGGGTGGTGGCGCACGCGCACACCTTCAATCCCAGCACTCACAAGGCAGAGGCTTGTTCCAGGGCAAGGGAACAGGAGGAGCCCAGGACAGCCCGAGCTACACAGAGAAACCCTGTCTTGAAATCAAAATAAGAAAGAGTGAAGAGAAAAAGAAACTTGTCTAGATCACAGGAGCATCATAGCCTAAGCTCTGTCATGAGTCACTGCTGCTCTGACACCCCCCCATGCGCGCGCACACGCACACACACGCGCACACACACACACACACACGCGAGAGATGTGAAGGGTTAGCCTCGCCCTCCAACTGCTAAAGCCACCACTGACAGAAGCAAGTACCAGGTCTGAATTACAGGCTGCAGCATGTTGGGAATCCAGTCCTTAGAACAGCAGATCCCAGGAAGGGAGGATTCAGCTTCCAGAGATGCAAAAACCTGGCGATCCAAGGACCAGGACTGGAAAGAGGGGCAGGTACAAATTACATCCGGCCAAAGGTGGGTTAGCAGGTAGAGGTACCTGCCACCAAGCATGACAGACTGAGTGTCGTCCCTGTGACCCACATAGTGAGAGAACAGATTCCAGTCTTCTGACCCTCACAAGTATGCCGTGACATATGTAATCATGTGTGCACATATACACACAAATAAATGTAACAAATAATTTAACAACAACACAGAAAAGAATCCCGGGTTTGGCCAGGTGTGGACCTCCTATTCTCTCGTCTCACAATTGAGGAGGCTGAGGCTGGAGAATCATGGGTTCTAGTCCAGAGAGGGTTGCACAAGGAGTCTAGGGCCAGTCTGAGAGCATATAAAAACACTCTGTCTTCAAAAATGGTGGCGGGGGGGGGGGATTCTAGGTTCCAAACCTTAAGCCTTCTCTTCCTCCACCGGGTATTTATCACACCAGGGATCTCAAGGTTTGGAAAGTAAGTCAGACATTTACAGCTTAATTACCCAAACTTCAAAATGGTTTAATCCAGAAATCTGACCAGGCTAGGTCCCTAGCCCCAGCCTTATTAACATCGAGGTCTGCCTACAACTTCAGTTAATGACACTGTTAAACGAGAAGGAAAAACGTACTGTGATCTATTAAAGAAAGCCTTGCCCCCTGAAGACATGCATCTGGGGTGGGCAGAGTCCCTGGACTTCCCCAGAACAGCAGGCGCCACAGCACATGGACAGGTTCCACACCAAGGCACGTTTGCTAGAACTGATTTAAGGCCCTCATTAAAATGTTTCTTTGCAGAGCACAAGATACTCCCAACTCCCTCCTGACCAACTTCCGGCTCACACACCCCCTCCCCAGGACACCCATCGCTGAAGTTCAGAGTCCTCAGAGAAGAAATTCAGCAACTGTGTTGCCAGGGCCCCATCTCCGTCAGACTTCATAAAGATGAACCAGAGGAGCAAAGCCAGCCACAGCCAGCAGAGCCACACACCAAAACCCACCAGGCAGCCCAGGAGGCCTGTGAGCTGGGGCCGCTTGCCCATATGGCTGCACCCTCATCCTGGCTGTGTTTAAAAGAAAAAAAAAAAAACTTCCATACTTCCTCCGGGAGCAGATGTGGGACTTCACCATGAGCAGTAACTACCACACATATACAGAACACCAGCTAGGAATTCCCAGGACGGGTTCTTTCTGGATTCTGCTTACCTCTTTTTTTTTTTTAAATATATATAACTGGAGTGGGAGAGACTTGCATTCTCTGGCTCTGAAACCCTCAACAGCTGGTCAGGGAGATGTCAGCAGACAATTCCCTGCCCCTGTCCTCCAGGCTGGCACTCTTTAAAGGAATGGTTAGGTGATCACCTAAGACAGAATGGGCAGAATGTCCCCCCTAAAGAGGGCTGTTTGACGGAACACCACAGACGGGGTTGTTGTCTCCTAAGGTGAGGAGCCTTCATTGGGTCCTTGCTGACTGGGACCAGCAGAATGGGTTATTTGAGTAGCGTGGCGATTTCCGGTTAAATCACTTCCAACACCTTTAGTGGCGACTGACTCTCAGGTGTGATCAGCCAGGAACTAATAATCTGCAGGATGTGGTGCCCCTTGTTTGCCCTGGAGATGTGGGCCACACCCTCATCAAAGTACATAGGCCCTCCACTAAAAGCCAGAGTTGAGCTCTTTTTTTGCGTTTCTGCCCTTAGGAAGACAGATATTTCTTTCCTCCCAGAGCACCGACAGGATGGAAATCCAGGAAACAGCAGAGCAAAGCCCGTCCGCACCTTGGCAAGCCGGCCATGCCCGATTTTGGCAGAGGCCTTCAACACATTAGTCACTACTACAGCTTGGGACCCTACACTCCCGGGATACGACCCTGGCACCGAGTGGGCTCAAGGCTCGGGCCTAGTTTGAGGAGATGAGGCACCCCTCAATCTAACCTGCCCTCACGGGCAGGGCCATCTGGGGTTCCAGCTTTGCCCCGGAACTTTCAGGGAGGGAGCCAGGCGCGTCCGGCCGGTATAGGTAACAAAGCTCTGCGCCAGGCGCGCCCTAGGTCAGGTCGGAAGGGATCGGGACCCAGGCTGGTCTCCCTCACCTGGACTCCAAGGCCCGGGACATTCCCAGGGTGTCGGCACCCTCTCACGGGATGGGAGGGCGCTGTTCCCCAAAAAGGAGCTCCCCAGCAGAGCTCGGGAGCTGGCGACTCCGGACAACGCTCGAGCAAACTCTCGGATCGAGCGGGCGGACTGGCCGGGAGAACTCGCAGCAAACGCGTCCCCGCGCCCCAGGGCACCGCGCGCGCACGGGGGCGTCGCCAACCCCGGATCCCCAAACTCCCAGCGAGCCTCTCCACTGCCCCAATCGCCCAGCCCACCTCTCCAGGGCCCTTCCAGCTCCCGGGACTACCGCGCTTCTCAAAGCCTAGCTCTGTACCCCTGGTTCTCGGGAGACTCACCGGCCAGTAGCGGCAACAGCAGAGTGCTGAGCAGAGGTCGCGGGCGGGCTCCCATCGTGGCGGGCGGCAAGGGAGCTGCGAGATTCAAGGCGCACGGACGAGCGGGAGCGCGGACCGGAGCG